GTGTGTGTGTACACGTGTATTAGGCTGGGGCATGCAAATATCCTGGCCCAGGTGTTCCCCCCCCGTCTCCCCGCTCAGGTGAGCGCTGTTGGTTATGCGCCTTAGGTCCCAGGTTGCGGGCACACATGCGTGTCGACGTGCACCCGGGTCTTGGGAAGTGGGTTGTGGGGAGAAATGCAGAGCAGTTTGGGAGGTCAGAGCTTCTGGAAAAGGGGCAGGATCCGACCCGAGGTTCTGTCCCCCCCAAACCAGACCTGGCCTATTTTAACCAACCTGGGGGTCAAAGACATCAGGTGTGCCCCAGAATGTGTGTAGAAATTGGGTATTTCCCCCCTTCTTTTAAAGGAATACTTTTCCTTCTGCTTGTTGCATTTTTTATTGTCAGTTCTTTGATTATTATTTTTTTTCATGGTTTGGTGTGGAATCCGGCTAATGTTTTGATTGCAGCTTGATACTTTTTACCCGGGAGTTTAGTAAATAAACAAACCAATGTTTCTAATTGCTGGCCAGGGTGTTCCTAAATCCTGGCTTCACCCTCCTTCCACTCAAGCTGGCAAAACAGCAATCGGGTGAAAGAATTCTCTGATCTGCTTTTTTTAATTGCAGAAAAGAGATGCAAATTTTTCCCCCTTTAAAAAAAGAGAGATTTGCTCTTTATAACCCTGGGGATGAGTCTCCACCCTTTCTTAAGAGTTTGATTCAATGACTCACCATCCCTTTTGTGGCCGTCTGCCGTAATTATTAATTAGCAGGGTTTTTCGGATTTATTGGGTTCAACGTTCTGTCCAGTTTTTGAAATTCTACCAATGCAAAATGTTTGCATGGAATCTGATCCCGGCGAGCAAAAATTCGGTTCTTTCCCTTCCCTAGAAATACCTTTGAAACGTGTAGGACGAAAAGATGGAAGAGTTTTGAATTTACTTAGCTTGTGATGTGAAAGCTACCAAAAGTAAATCGACTTACATTTTTATTTTTTTTTAATCAAAATTTCAGTTAATTTCCCCCCCCCAGAACTGGCCACTCGCTCTGTAACTCCTACAGGGAAATACACCAATTTGCACAGTTTAAAAGAAGGGAGGGGAAACTTTGAAAACCTCCATATATTTTGAACTACAGACCCCACCAGTCCAAACCAATATGACCAGTTGTTAGGGATTCTGGGAATAAATATTCCCGAAATCCGGAAGGCCAAAGGTTTTGCCACCCCCGGTTTCTAGAGCATGAAGTGAGGATGATGCTATAATTACAGAACTTGCTTTTTTATGGTGTGGAGTCACACTGTGGCCTTTTTCATAAAGTAAAAATATCTGAAAATGGTGCCATAATACAGAGTAAGATTTGCAACCAATGTGATCTTCTATGAAATCTCCAGATTCCAGGGTTCATGTCAAACAGTGTTTTAGATAGAAAATCGTGTTTTGCTGGGACAATGCGTGTCTGTTCGAGGAGCTTGCTTTCCTTTTAAGAACTGGATCCTGGCAGAGTAATAAAGAGCCTCTTAACTACACCCAAAGAATTCCAGTCTTTCAGAAACGTTGGGCCTAACTCATCTTTTAGCCTCTTCCAAACAGTTTGGGCTGCGTGGGACGTGGGTGGCGCTGCGGGTTAAACCGCAGAAGCCTCTGTGCTGCAAGGTCAGAAGACCGGCAGTCGTGAGATCGAATCCACGCGATGGAGTGAGCTCCCGTCGCTTGTCCCATCTCCTGCCAACCTAGCGGTTCGAAAGCATGCAAATGCAAGTAGATAAATAGGTACCACCTCGGTGGGAAGGTCACGGTGTTCTGTGTCTAGTCACGCTGGCCACGTGACCACGGAAAGTGTCTTCGGACGAACGCTGGCTCTATGGCTTGGAGACGGGGATGAGCACCGCCCCCTAGAGTTGGACACAACTGGACTCAATGTCAAGGGGATACTTTACCTTTTGGACAGTGTTTCTGTGTCCGAGTCTAGAGCAGGGCTGGCGTGTGTATGTCTCTGACCTTCTAGAGATCAAGGGCAGCAATTAAAGGATTATGGGAATTGTAGTCCTAAGCCTCTAGAGAGCCTTGGGCAGACTTCGCTTTATAGGTGTAGCCACCAGACAATCTGTTGACCACCCCCTTCTTACCAGCCTCTCACAGCTTAACCCTGCTTTCCAGTGTTGGCCCAATCTGTTATTTTTTTAACAATTGCTTTTCCCTTCCCTCCAATTTCTCTCCTTTTTCAACCCCCCCCTCCTCCTCCTCGTCGGCCCTTCCTTGATGTTGTTGGGTGAAGTTGGACAACCGAGGTGTGATGGTTTGCAGGAATCAAGCAGGGAGCAATTGTGGGCAGATGGGCTGATTATTAAGATCTTCTTTTGGTGGGGATAATTTTGAATTCCCCCCAAAAAGAGTGAAGTTTCCTCAGTTTCATTTTTTTAAAAGTTTAGAAATTTGTTCTGCTTTTGTTGTCGAAGGAACAAGAAGCAAAGCCCACAAACAAATTCTGCAACCAGACTATTTCTAGAGAAGCCTTTAGATTGCTAGGCAGGGCTGGTCTGAGAAGCTAGAATGCCAGGTGTAAGCATGTATTTTTTTTTTTTGGACTACAGACCCCATTATTCTCCACTTTCAGAGTCCTTCTTGCCCAATCCAATTCATACACACACCTAACTTGTGCTCACCTGGTTAAAAAGCCTCTCTAGCCAGCCTCACACCTTGGATGGGCCTAACTTCCTGTTTGAAAAGGAAGTTGTGCCAATGGTTGCAGCAAAACATCCTTTTCAAACAGGAAGTTAGGCCTACCCAAACCTGGGTCATGTCTCCAGGCGAGCACAAATTAGGTGTCTGGGAGATGGAACCTCTGGCATGGAGGATTATGGGATTTGTGGGCCACCTCCACCCAACCCCACACCCCAACCCCCCAAAATACGCATCCTTAGCTGGGTTTGGAGATTGAGAGCTGTTAGAAATTGTTTGGCAAAGACAATTTTAAATCATCCAATGAATTTTACAATTCATTGAGGACTGGAACCTTGGTTTCTTCCTTGTCCCAATTAATGCTCTAAAAATAGTAGGCCACCCTGACATTTTATGCAGAGGTATATCCATGAATATTTCTAAATGATGGGAGTCGTAGTCCAAAGATCCTCCACTCCTGTTCTTTACGGCCAGCATGGCAATGCAGAGGAGTAGCATCTTATCAGAACAATCGTTTTGGGGGGGGGAACGCTTTTTCCTGAGCTGATGTTAAAATTAAGCTCTCATTTTTCCTTTCCCACCCTGCTTCGAATTCCTAGTTGCCTGTGGAGACAAGGCGAGTCGCCAGATGTGTCCACCAACAATATATTTCTTGGTCCGTTGCCTGCTCTTTCTTTCTGCCTCTTGCATTTTTCTCAGGCTTTGGGTGCGATTTTAAATGTGAATCTATGAACCTTGGCTTTTCGGTAGGAGTTTTGGCACTTTACGTGGTCCTGATTGTCCTTACAACAGCCCTGCAAGGCGGACCAGCCTTATCTCCAGATAAGGAGCTGAAGGGGAAGGGAAGGAGTCCTATTAAGTGTCAAGGCTTTCGGTGCAAAGAGGTTGTCCTGATTTGCCCACTTTCTTGGCAGGGGTGGCTCTCCAGTTGTCAAAGCTGTGAAAGGTCTTGGCTTAAGTCCCATTCCCTCTGCCTCCCGTCCCTGCCTTCCTGCTAGGATTGCAGGATCAGATCCACACTGTTTCCTACGAATAAGTGAGTGTGCTGTGGAAACGCAGAAGGGAATAAATGTGAGGTTTAAACGCCATTGGCATGCGGCTGTTTTGTGCTCTCCGGGAACACTGGGAGTTGTAGTTGAACAATACCTAGAGGGCCACCAGGTGCCCATCCATGCAAAGGGAAATAACCCGTCCTTTGGAACTGTAGGTAGGATGATAGTGCAGTTGCTCAACCCACCCAGCTAGTCTTGGTTTAAATGTTGGGCTAAACCTCTTAGCAGCCTTAGTCAGAAAAAAAGGGTGTGATGATCGCAGTCCCGTAGCATCTGTCGGTCCCGTATGGTGCTCATCTCTGATCTAAAACTGAATCATCCCAATTTTAGATCGAACCGAAGCCTCCAGACGCTTTTCAAAATCCTCCTCCCTTGAATCGTGGGTGGTCCCAGCCGGCAAGACATTTGCCTGGCTGGTTTGGTGGCTGGTGAGCCTTCCCACAATTAACCTCCGAAGGGTAATTGGGATTCTTTTTTGTCTCCCTAGGTGCAAATTCTTCAGCTTAATTGAGACGCCTGAAGACTATACCATTATGGTGGACGAGGAAGGCTTCAAAGGTACAGGACTGTCTCGGGCGTTGATGGTGGTGGGCTGGTCTCTCTGATTCCTCCCCTGGGCAGGCCCAAGATTTCTCTGCCCTCTGCTGTCTTCATTTTGTTGCATAGTGATAAGAGCTTTTCTCCATGGTTCCTCAGTTAAAATTTCCAAGGGGGGGGTAATGCAATTGAATTAATAGTCGTTGTGAGTTAATGACCTCTGAAAAGTCCTGTTGCAAACAGCTCTGCTCAGCTCTTGCAAATGTTAGGCTGTGGTTTCCTGTATAGAGTTGATCCATCTCATGTCTTCCTCTTTTCCTGTTGCCTTTCATTTCTCTCCCCTCCCCAACACAATTATCTTTTCTAATGATTCTTACCTTTTTATGATATGGCCAAAGTATGATAATCTAGTTTAGACATTTTTGCTTCTAGAGAGAATACAGCCTGGATTTGATCTAACACCATTGTGTGCAATCAAATTGATTCTGACGTAGATCAACCCTTCTTGGTGTTTTTTTTCTGTCTTTCTACAAAGTATTTAGCTGTGGTTTCCCCTTCCCTTCTTCCGGGGGGTGCCCTGGGACTGGTGTGAAGCTGGCCCAAGGCCACCCAGGCTGGCTCTTCTCCCTTGGAGGCACACAGTGGGGGGAATCGAACTCACAACCTCTGGCTCCACAGCTAAGCGCTCCAACCCAGAAAGCTGGATCTATGACGTATGTGCCTCTTTTTCTGGTCATCTGTGATCTCTGTAAAATCAACTCTTTTTTTCCTTTTGGCTTTCCTTACTCTCCAGCTTCCTCTTCTGTACATAGTAACTGGGATAAAAAGATAACAAAAATAGAAAAGTGGACAAAGCAATTAAACTGATGCTTAAAGGTGAGCCTCTGTATGGACTTTAAAAGTGGCTTCTCTGGTCCGTCCCCTCCTAACCTCTGACTACATCAAAAATGGGTGGATCATAGCCTGAGATGATGTCAAGAGATCAGGTGGTTAAAAAAGAGATCTGTCGGGGGTAATCTTGTCCTAAATTGTTTCAGGGTCTTTGCTGGTGGACCTGTGGTTAATGACCCCCCTTTAAGTTACCCTGCATCCCTTGAATAGCCTCTGGATTTAAGGGTGAGGAAGGCAGAGGAGACTTTTGACATGGTGGTTAAACTGCAGGACTGCAGCCGAAACTCTGCTCACAACCTGGGGTTCAATCCCAGCCAGCCGGCTCAAGGCTCACTCAGCCTTCCGTCCCTCTGAGGTCAGATAAGTTGAGTACCCAGCTTGCTGGCCGGCTCAAGGTTCACTCAGCCTTCCATCCTTCTGAGTTCAGTAACTTGAGTACCCAGCTTGCTGGTGGTGGTGAGGGGCAATGTGTCGCCTGCAGAATGAAATCGCAAACTGCCCAGAGAGTGCTTGAAGCCCTACAGAGCGGTATATAAGCAGCACACTTGGCTTTCATTTAAATAGGGACTTCGCCGCATCTTGGAAAAGTCCTTATTCTAGACAACAGGGCTTCAAATCCTTCTAGCCGACGTGTCCTTTTCTTCCTTCCTGTTCTTAATTTTTATCTTCCGTGGTGGAGTTTTGAGATTTGTGAGCCTGTGGAGTCTAAATTCTGCTTTTAAAAAACAAGAACAACAAGAGGTTATTTAATGTTGGTGCAAATCTGTAAACATGGGCTGTTTGGCTTGGCAGGACCCCCCAGTTGGGTCTGTCAGCAGTAGACATCTGTCTCTCCGGTGCAGGCTTGGCTGAGCTTTTTTTGGAGGCGAACCTTACTGGCGGATCTCTGTAGGGTATCTGAACATCTGTGAAAGCCTGGGCTTATGCCCAGAAGGGTGGGAGCGATAGGAAAATGATCCCAGCTTGGCACCGGGTCCAAATGCAGAGTTGTTCCCGGTTTGGCGTATTTCTGCCTTCCCTTGTCTGCAGCTTCCTGTTGCAGCGTACACCGTCAAGAGATAAAGGTCAAACAGTGCATCTTATGGGGCCCGGCACCCACTTGTTGCTCTGTGATCAGTCCCTCTTTTCTGCTCTCGGATCCTTCCTCTTACCTTTGGGGTACCTCCCTCCGGCCCCACTAAAAATAAAAAAGACCTGCAAACACAACTGGAAAGATTCTCCGGCCCCACTAAAAATAAAAAAGACCTATAAACACAACTGGAAATATTTTTTGATTGTACAGTGGTGCCTCACTTAATGGGTGCCTCGTTTAATGACGAATCCGCATAGCGACGAAATTTTTGCGATCGCATTGCGATGATTTAGATAGGGAAAAATCGCTTCGCGATTATCGGTTCCCTGTTTCACATACCGATCATCGCATAGTGATGATTTTCCAACAGCTGATCGGCGGTTCCAAAATGGCTGCCGGGTAAAGAAAATGGCCGCCCGCTGTGTTTCTGCCTGGATTTCTCGCTTACTGGGCAGCAAAAATGGCGGCCGGATGGCGGATTTTCACTTAAAGGTGAGTTTGAAGCCCATAGGAACTCATTGAAGGGGTTTCAATGTATTCCTATGGGCTTTTTAAAACCGCATAGCGACGAAATCGCTTTGCAGCGATTTTTGCTGCACGGATTATTGTCGCTATGCGGGGCACCACTAATGCAAAGAGTCTTCTCAGTTGGGTCCGGCGCTCAGGCGTCGCTCAGAGCGTCGCTATGCGGGGCACCACTGTACTAATGCAAAGAGACTTCTGAGTTGGGTCCGGCGCTCGGGCGTCGCTCAGACCGTTTGCCTTGGGAGCAGGAAGAAATGTCTTCTTCAGATGGAGAAGCGAGAGGCTGTTTCCTGGATCGGACGGTTGGTTCGCGGCGGGAAGGCTTCCTAAAATCCCAGCGGTCTGTGTGAATCATTGGTTCTCAGTCGCTGGTCGTCGGTGAGACCCAGAATCAATCCAGGCGGGATGGAAAGTTTTTGTAAGCTCGGCAAAGAATGTATTCTGTTTCACTCCCTTGCAGTTCCTGTTGCAGTAAAAGTCACATCGGCCAGCAGCATTGCTGGTTTTCACTCTGATTTATTTTTGTTTTATCCTGCCACAGCTTTTATATCCTTGCAGCTTAGCAAAAAGATAAATGTAAGAACAGAAGGGCTTTAAATATATTCATATCCGCCTGGGGTGAGGGAAGCCTCTTGTTTTTGTCACGGCGACACTCACAATCTCTGATTATAGTGCCTTGTGATGTCTAAGATGTAAAAGGGTGAAAAAACGACTAAACGACTAAACACACACATCCACTTGGGGTGAGGGAAGCCTCTTGTTTTTGGCACTGCGACACCCACAATCTTTGATTATAGTGCCTTGTAGTGTCTAAGATGTAAAAGGGTGGGAATGATTGATTGGTAGAAACTTCTTAGCACCTTCCGGCCAGGTTTTTACCAGTCTCGCCCAGAGATACTGGACCTTCAATCTTCTGCTTGAAAGCTAGCCTCTCTGAAGAGTTCCTTCATTCTGCCATCTCTTTTATTTATTTATATTTATTTATTTACAATATTTTTTAGCCGCACCATTTCCAGTGAGTTACAAACATCCGTGAGCCTTGTTTTCAGGGTTTATGAGAGCAGGATTCTCCAGAATATGATACCCACTCCAAACGTGGTCCTAGAGAAATGTTTTTAATCATCTTTAGACATACAAGAAATGGTTAGGACTATCAGTTGGGCATAAAAAGGCGATTTCCAGTGCCTTGCCGATGTAGTAAATCACTAGAATACATAAAACAAAAGGATGATCATGGTAACCTTGGGTTCAAGGTTGTGATCAAGGAGTGAGAAAATCTACTTGCCGTTTTTTCCCCCAATCCCCTGCAAGTCTGAAAGGGAAGAGATGGACAGCAGATGTTGGCATTGTAAATCTGTTTTATTTACCCCGCTCGGGGAAGGGAACAAGGAAGGGAGAGAGGAAGCGGTCCCGGGCGGCCCAGCCAATGCTGACAACAGCAGCTTCGGTGTGACCGGCTCCTGGATTTTCTCCAGGATCGGGTTTGGCAGCACATTTTCAAAGCAGCTGGAAGGCGCGGCTCTTCCAACACGGTGGGATATATTGTTTTTTGCACCATTCCCATGGAAGAGGATTTTCGCCCTTGGGAGAAAAGGGATGGGGGGGTGGGGAAGCTACTTGGCTAGCACTGCCCGGTGGCCGAAGCCGAAGGCTGACAGGGAACTTCTCTCCTCTTCCTCTTGCTAGGGATGGGGTGGCAGAAAAGGAGAGCCCCCCACCCCAATGTTCATGTTGGCTCCCAGAAATACAGTGGTGCCTCGCTAGACGATGATAATCTGTTCCACTGAAATAGCTGTTTAGCGAAATCATCGTCTAGCAAAAAGCATTTCCCCATTGGAATGCATTGAAACCTGATTAATGTGTTCCAATGGGGAAAATCGTCGTTGTCTAGCGAAGATCGGCCATACGAAAGCTGTTTTGCAAACCGCCTATCAGCTGTTTAAATAGCTGTCTTGCGAAGCTTAGGTCCTGAAAACACCTGTTTTGTGAGCGCGGAGGGAGCTGTCAACATCGTCATCTAGCAAAGATCACTTTGCGAAGCAGTGACCAAACATTGTCCAGCGAAATTCCCCCATAGGGATCACTGTTTTGCGAATCGCTATAGCAATCGCAAAAAGTCAATGTCTAGCAAAAAAACTGTCATGCGGGGTAACTGTCTAGCGAGGCGCCACTGTATCTCGTCTCGGCACGGTAAACAGAGACTGAATCTGCATTGAATGACTCCAAAGTCATTATCCTGCCCAGAACGCTTGGGCAACTTTCTCTGGGTTCTAAGGCCTGGGACAAACCCCCAGTGAGCCAATTTTCCATCCTTAGCAGTTTTACCCATCGGATCCCTCTGGGCAGAAGCAGATGTTGGGGCGGGAGGGAGAAGAGTCATCGTTACAATCTTGTGCATTTCTTGTTTCAGATTAGCATTTCTGTGACACTGCTTTCGTGTGTGTGTATGTGTGTTGGATTGTGTTGCTCTTTGCTATTTGTGTGCAAATGCTAGTGCCTTCCACAGAGCTGCCATTACAGTGCGGCCTCCTTA